TAATGAACGAAAAACATACGTTAGTTGGTTAAAAACAACCGAATTGCTAAAGATTTACAAAGCTAAATAAAGAACGAATATTTGTTGTCGTAATATGCTCTCCGTGTTATATTTCCTCCAGCATTAAAATTAATTAAGCTCATCTATAGAAATGTAAAAGGTTTTGAGAGAAAGGTTTTGATTTGTCCATTCGTCGAGAAAAATGCTTGTCAAAAAAATATATATATATCAGTTGTTTGCTAAAAAACACACACCTGAATTCTTGAAGAACACTTCTGGATCCACCTTTGACTACATAAAAGTATTTTTTAAATTGTTTTTGGTCTATCTTGTCCTAAAGCGATTTTTTTTTCTGTGCATTTGAGAGCCGCATTTGTGAGTAGTTTTGCTTTGACATCAAGCGGGATTCATGTGTTGTGTACACGGATGGACGGACGGACGGACGGACGGACGGACGGACGGACGGACGGACGGACGGAAGTGACGTAAGTCAAGCCAACTCGATGAAAAATCAACTCGATGGTTTACCATTTTTTCTTAGTATGGTGCTCCGCTATAACAAATTTCCCACATAGTCTAACAGCTGTTACCAATATATTGATGGGTTGCTAGCATTCCCAAGAGAGTTAAAAGACAACAAGGCTATATTGCTCTTAGAGCAATGATGTTTCGGCCCGCAAAGCCTAGTTTCAGGGGTTTGCGGTTTTCATTTTTTGTGTCAAGTGGCTTTGTTTAATTTTGCTTAAAGACTTAAAATTATTGTTTAAAAATTTTTCCCAGTAGAATGGACAATAAATGTGACAAAATAGATTTGGTGTTTTTGAATATCCATTATGATACAGTATATGTAATTGACACATTTTTTGCAGTTGAAACGTACTTTATTTTGTATAGAATCTTTTAACTCAAAGTGAAACATATTTAACTACTTACAAGGAAATGTTATTTAACATTGGTGTATGTTCATATTGTCCTAAGTAAACTCTGAGCCAGAGTGGGTCTTATGTAGAAAACGAGGAAACCTGAAAGAGGCAGTCAACATTGCTAGCAGCCAGATTTACCATTCATGATTAATCCGCTGATTGTGTTATATTGCAGTCACAGCTGGAAACAGTTGATCAGTGCATATCAATAATAAACTATGTGGCGACAAGGAATGTTGATTGTCAAGCTAAACTGCAACAACTGTATTGTGCTTCCTAAGCACAGTTTTTTTTAAAGTTTGAGGCCTGTTTTGAAAATGTGAAGTTTTGAGTCTAGTATTATGTATATTCTTCAAACGACACAACTTTTGAAAAAGTTGCTTATGTAATGAACAATAAACAGATTTGGAGAGAAATATTTTGTGTTTAAAGTGTCTTGGCTTTAGTAATCACATCTTGGTTTTTCTTATACCTGATCTCCCATGGCAACCGTTTTAGGAATAGTGTTGTTATTTGATCTTTTTCTAGCTTTGTGAAGTCTATTTCTGGAAAAAGCTGTTGAAAAGTATCAGTAAACAATGTATAGACTAAAAAAGTGTTGTTGAAGAAATAGAAAACGCGCGCGCGTGCTGTGTGCTGTCATAAAGCACGCGGGGGTTGGCAGAACACAAGAGAAGTGTTAGGAGAAGCACGAAGCGTAGCGGAGTGCTTCTGGACACTTCTCGAGTGTTCTGCCAATCCCCAAGTGCTTTATGACTGCACACAGAACAGCAAGCAAGTTTTTTATTTCTTTTATAAAATACAAATTACAATAATAGATAGGAATGACGCAACGGAAAGTGCGCGCGCGTGCAATGTGCTCTCATAAAGCACGCGCTCCAAACCAATCAGAACGCGACATTCATAACAGCTATTTTATAACTTTCATTAAAACTATAGTAACAACAATGATCTTCTGCATATAAGTTTACATGTTTTATCTCTACATGCAGGGTATTTCTTGATATGCTGTACTGCTACTAGAGATGCTGTTTGTGACATATCTTCTTCCTCATCACCAGAAGAGAGTATTTGTAAGTCTTGTTCCTGAGAAGGCTAAAGTAAATAAATACAGAAAAAGGTCAAAGACAGCTGTGTTTCCTTAAGATTTTTTAACAACGGTGAATATTCACATACGAAAGCACACATCATAGATAATGTTTTACGTATCTTTAAGAGTTTGAGGTTACTTAATTTCAACTTTACAGGTGTACACAATTTGATGTGATGTATAGAAAAAAAGTTTAGATTTGAAAATTAGATCACGTTACACAAATTAATGCCAATGGGAGACCTTTTGAAACGTACTTTACATTAAATCACGTTACACAAATTAATGCCAATGGGAGACCTTACTTTGAACGAAAGAAGCCAACATTTTTAACAGTTCCGAGCGCAATCCAATCACGACAGTCAGTCGAAAGACAGACAGATACGAAATTTATCTTCGAGTGTTGAAAAGATCTCTCACAAGTGAGCGCAGCGAACGAGTGAGAGATTTTCAACACTCGAAGATAAATTTCGTATCTCCAAGCGCCCATGTAATATTCTGTTTATTATATAATTATCAATGAAAGTATGTTTTGGCTTTTTCAGGCAATTCTTTCCGTGTATTTTTGAATAGCCATCGCAATGGTATTATTTTCACACGTGAAAATAACATAAAATAACATGTTATTTTCACGTGTGAAGATATCAATTTTTCGAAATAGAGAAAAATAGATATTTCATTGGTAATTATATAATAAATAAAATTATTGAATGGACGAACATTTGTTGTCGTAATATGCTATCCGTGTTATATTTCCTCCAGCATTAAAATAAATTAAGCTTATCCATAGAAATATAAAAGGTTTTGAGACAAAGTCTTTGATTTGTCGATTCGTCGAGGAAAATGCTTGTCAGAAACAAAATATATACGATTGTTTGCCAAAAAACAACAAACCTGAATTCTTGAAGAACATTTCTTGTTCCATCTTTAACTAAATGAAAATGTTTTTTAAATTGTTTTTGGTCTATAACTTGTCCTAAAGCGTTTTTTTTTCTCTGCATTTGAGAGCCGCATTTGTGAGTAGTTTTGCTTTGACATCAAGCGGGATTCCTGTGTCGTGAACACGGACGGACGGACGGACGGATGGAAGTGACGTCATCCAAGCCATGGAAAATCAACTCGATGGTTTACCATTTTTTCTTAAGTATGGTGCTCCGCTATTAGTGAATTGTTGACTAAGTTTTTTGTCATTCAATCACTCAAGCGAGACGTGGTCGAGTTCCTGAGTTTTTACTAGTAATTTAGAAGTTTGAAGGATCTCTCGTTCGTGAAACCACAAGTTTTATCTGCATCTGTAATTTTTTTATATTCACTTGAAGAAATAGCAGGTACTTGAGTAAGGAAATGTCCAAATCTTTTACTCTGCATTGTTGGTCGCAAATGAAATATCTATCTCGCATTGTTCGTTGGAGTGCAAACACGCACGCTACTATACGCTTCGACGAGGATGTCAAACAATAGATTGTTATTTAAATAAAACAATAATTGTACTATTGAGCTTATGACTTTAGCGAATCGCGGATAAAATAAAACAAAAGGTATACAGGATGTCCTAAAAATACTTGTTGATGACTATAAGGTGAAAAGATTACTGTTAAGTATTGTAAACAAATCTTGAATAAATTACCTTAAGATAACTTCATTCGTTATTTATGATCTGAAATCAATCAACATTTGTTTGTGAGATTCGTTCGAGGAACAAAAATTGAAAAATCCACAAATATTTACGCTTCGCTGCACTCCCCGAAACTACGGGGCTTTCTCCTCGTAATAGAATTTTTTAGTGAAGCTAAGAGATCCGCCTCCTTGTACCGTAGGCTAATGTCATCCACGTGATAAGAAAGCCGAATGTGATTCGAAACGACAGAAAATAATAACAGCTGATTGACAGCTTCACAGAATATTATGGGTTAACCAAACTGATCTTAGTAGCGGCCATTGTGGTGGTACCGTTAACAATGGATGCTAATAAGAAACCTTTTGTTAAATGGTACCAGCATGGCCGCGATGACGTAACGTGCAAACGAAGAATACCTGATATTTCATTGGTTTTTATATTATCTTTTAATTTTTATTTCTTTTATTTATTCATTCATTCATTCATTTATTCATCAATTCATCCATTCATTCATTCATTCATTCATTATTCATTTATCTATCTATCTATCTATCTATCTATCTATCTATCTATCTATCTATCT